TTTTTGCACCAGCTCCCAAAAGGCTTTCCGCCTATGCCTATCTCTTCTACGCGCGCCCAATGCCAATTATTATTGAGTCCTTTATTGACTATCTGGACGTTTTCCCCGGGTTTCATTAACTTTCTTTCCATCTCCATTTAAAGCACTTCTACCAGAGCCCGTCTACTGCCTGCGACTTATGCATGTATCCCGAATCAACTTTTTTTTTGACTCGTCGCCAATCGCCGCACGCCGGAAATCTGTCATGGTGCTGGATTCCCATCACCCCCATAATTGGCTCAGTTCCCATTTTCTAACATGGATAATTAGGGACCCCATAACCTATTCTTTTTGTTTGGTATAATCCCTTTAGAAATTCTTCATATTGTAATCTTTTTCAATATGTGTTCTAAATGTGCTCATATTTACAGTGCCCTCCAAAAGTATTGGAACAGCGAGGCCAATTCCTTTGTTTTTGTTGTAGACTGAAAATATTTGGGTTTGACATTAAAAGATGAATATGGGACAAGAGATCAACATTTCAGCTTTCATTTCCAGGTATTTACATCTGGATCTGATACACAACTTAGAAGATAGCACCTTTTGTTTGAACCCACCCATTTTTCATGAGAGCAAAAGTATTGGAACATGTGACTGACAGGTGTGTTTTGTTGCCCAGGTGTCTCCCAATTACATTGATTATTCAAACAATAAATAGCACTGAATGTCTGAGCTCAGTTTCAGATTGGGTACGATAGGTTTTGCCTGTGCAGACTGCATTTAGAGGTGGAACCAACATGAAAACCAGAGAGCTGTCTATGGGTGAAAAAGAAGCAATTGTGAATCTGAGAGAAGATGGACAATCAATCAGAGCCATTGCACAAACATTGGCCATAGCCAGTACAACCATTTGGAATGTCCTGAAGAAGAAAGAAACCACTGGTGTACTAAGCAACAGACGTCGAACAGGTAGACCAAGGAAAACATCAGCAGTTGATGACAGAAACATTGTGAGAGCTGTAAAGAAAGACCCTAAAACAACTGTTAGTGACATCAGCAACAACCTCCAGAGGGCAGGAGTGAAGGTATCACAATCTACTGTTCGCAGAAGACTTCATGAACAAAAGTACAGAGGCTACACCAGAAGATGCAAACCACTCATTAGCAAGAAGAATAGGAAGGCCAGGCTGGAATTTGCCAAAAGGTACAGAGATGAGCCTCAAAAATTCTGGGAAAAAGTTTTATGGACTGATGAGACAAAGATTAACTTTTTCCAAAGTGATGGAAAGGCGAAAGTTTGGAGAAAGAAAGGATCTGCTCATGATCCCAAACATACAAGCTCATCTGTGAAACACGGTGGAGGTAATGTCATGGCTTGGGCTTGCATGGCTTCTTCTGGGACGGGCTCTTTCATCTTCATTGATGATGTAACACATGATGGCAGCAGCAAAATGAACTCAGAAGTCTACAGAAACATTTTGTCTGCTAATTTAAAGAAAGATGCAACCAAACTGATTGGGAGATCCTTCATCATGCAGCAAGATAACGACCCAAAACACACTGCCAAAACAACAAAGGAGTTCATCAGGGGCAAGAAGTGGAAGGTTTTAGACTGGCCAAGTCAGTCTCCAGACTTAAACCCAATAGAGCATGCATTTTACCTGCTGAAGAGGAGACTGAAGGGAGTAACCCCCCAAAACAAACAACAACTGAAAGAGGCTGCGGTGAAAGCCTGGAAAAGCATCACAAAAGAAGAATGCAAAAGTTTGGTGATGTCAATGGGTCACAGGCTTGATGCAGTTATTGAAAGCAAAGGATTTGCAACTAAATATTAAGTCTCATTCACTTTAATCTATTTTAAGTTTATATGTTCCAATACTTTTGCTCACCTAAAAATTTTGTGTTCCATTACAAATAATGCTATCTTCTAAGTTGTGTATCAGATCCAGATGTAAATACCTGGAAATAAAAGCTGAAATGTTGATCTCTTGTCTCATATTCATCTTTTGATGTCAAACCCAAATGTTTTCAGTCTACAACAAAAGTAAACGAATTGGACTCACTGTTCCAATACTTTTGGAGGGCACTGTATGTATTTTTCTCAGCTGCAGTGTTATTTAAGCAGTTGATGTTGACATGATAAGATGTAGATGCACTGTATGATGCACACCACCAGGTGGTGCCGGTGAGTGAGGAGCAGGGCTACACGCAGGAGTTTGTAGGATTTTGTTGTTGTATGAGTGGAAATGAGCAAGACAGCAGTAGCATTGTATCACCAGCCAGGAAAGCTTGCAGGCAGAGTTCAGAGAAGGAATTGGTTTATATTTGTTTAATACAAAAATAAAGTGACGGCAAGTGAAACATCCTTCCAGCATCAACCTGAGTTTCTGGCTGCACGATATATCGTTTGAACATCGCCATCACAATGTGCACGTGTGATAGTCACATCGCAGGACGTACAATATTTTCTCCTTGTTTAGAACATGTAGACTTTTGTTTTGCTTCAGAAAAGCAGCTCTGAAGAAGGCTCTTTGCTCCGCTCTGCTCGCCTCTCTCAGCACTAAGCAGCCCCTCCCCCTCTCATGCACATGCTGCAGTCACACACTGAAAATGAGCGACACGCAAGAGGGAGAAATGGTAAAGGAGGATTTATGCCTGGTACACACTACACGACTTTTCTGCCCGTTCTGAAAGTCACTATGTCACATTACACGATTGTGGAGTCATAAAATTGTGCCGTGACTTGGCCGACAGACATGACACACTACACGATGGTACACACCAATTATCAACAGTCGTCTTTCGCAACGTGTGTGATGTCATCGGGTTATTCTTGTCCTATTTTTATTACTGTTGCTATTATTTCAGTCACTGTGTCTGTTCATGTGCCAGCCGAAATGTTGTTGTTGTCACCTATAAAGTGCCAGCAGACGGCAGGAGCTCCATTTGAAGTACCATATCCAAACATACAAGTCACCGAATCCTCCACAACAAGTTCCTGCAAATATTTCACAATAAAAGCCTATTTAGAAAATGGAGGGATTCTCTCAGCCGAGGTTTTAAGGGGCTTTTAATTTGAAACAAATTCAAGAAGTGTTGAGTTTGAAATAACGGCATGATCCATTAACTTTATCAAGGCAACATGAGCGGATAAAAAGTAAAAATATAAAGATTCAGGGGGATTAATATATAAAGGCCCTTTTATAATGTAGTCTGTTTCAAATGAAGCTGGTAGCCTCTGCAGTTGTGGTGAGTAAAAGCCCTGCCACTATTTTTAAATTTTCTTAGTTAGTCATCTGGTGAAAATTCTTACATTTTTTAATACCACAATATATATTGCCAAAAAAAAAAATCAGTAGACTGCTTTATTTATTGATGATAATCGCAATAACTGGCACAATATAATTCAGTGTAATAATATATAAAATATAACATAATACTATATTACATTATGCAGTGGCATTAAAATATTATTTATTGATAAGAAAGCACCATAAACATGGGTCCTGGCAATGGAGATGGATCCCAGCACCGGGGGTGGGGCCTGAGGCTGGAGGTCTGCAGCGGGACACTATTGGAAAATGGACTGTCCCAAATAATAAATTGAAGCTGCGTTTAACCCTAGGTGCACAACCTAATGCATTAACGGACTGACGCTGACCCGAAGTCATTCATTCCAATGGAGCTGAAAATGACGGATAGTAACGGACTAGCGTGCAGCACGGCAGTGGTTCCGTTGACCATTGGACCGTGGAGGCGTTGGATATTTCCTACTCGTGTGTTGACAACATGGGAGAAACAAGAGTGTTACGGTTCCGGAAGTAGGAAATGAATTGCAATCACAGTTGTAAACAAACAATATCTCATTTATTTATGCAAAAGAAAAATAAACATAAGCGTTTTTTCCCCACAATTAAAAGTGATTGTTGACCATAGGTTGATTTCTATGCAGTTGATAATTTATCTACATTTTTGAATTTTGCGCTCATTTCCATAGCCCATTTTGCGCCTATATATCAGCTCTTTTAATAGTACACTACTCAACTCGTCTCAGTTCAGTTGTTACAGTGACAGTCAACATGAGACAGCTTCGCAGGAAGATATTGCTAGCTCTTCTGCTAGGTGACTTTGCTAAAACCATTCGCCAACAGCACCCGCCGGCATCTGGCCAGGTCCGTCAACGATGGAACCTCGGTGTTGTTCTGGGGGTGGGGAATGCGTTGGGGAAACGCTCCGTTAAAACAGGAAAAATAGGTCGTGCACCCGGCGTAAAGCAGGTGATAGGAACGTAGCCAAAACGTACCCACCAACAGGAGCCCGCATTGGCCAACACAGCCCTACATCAGAAAGGGGAGGGTATGTTGATGCAAACCAATGGCATGGAAGCATTAATTGTCTAAACATCTTAAGACTTCAGAAATGTACTTGTTAGCATGGCATTTTCTGTTTTCTTGCCCATTTGACACTTTAAGACAATGTGATTTTACCTGTTAAGACAAAGTTGCCATATTAATAAGGACGTCAATATAGACATTTAGAGAGCCATGTGGCTTTCGATAATTTTTTGTTCCCTTAACACGTCATATTTTTACCTGTTAAGACGAACAAATTTGACTTATTAATACAAACGTCAAGATAGATGTTTAGAGCCCTTCCGCGTTGCATAATAATTTGATTAATACAGAAGACACTTGATAATGGCTAAAATTAAGGTAGGGAAAAAAGAGGATATACTAATATCAGTATTGGTTATTGGTCCCATGAGTTGTTACACATCGGCATACCGGCAAAAAAAATAATACCGTGCATCCCTACTTTAAGGCTAACGTTCACGAAATGTTTCATGAATCAAAAAATTGTTTGCTGGGTAGCCCGGCAGAGGCGAAGCAATTTACCCTGTAAACAAATGGGTAACACTTAAGAACAGTGAATTTAGCATCATATTGTGACCTCACACCACCTCCTAGTTGTTCTAGAAATCAGCGTAAGGCCTCTTCATACTGCTCACTACTTCAACAGACCTGTCTTCTGAATCCATCCGACTAAGCGGCTCTCCATCCGACGAGGTCAGTTCCACGCTGGCCCGTCTCTTGATGCCGTGTTCGGCTTTCTCCGTGGTCTTTGTGCGGTCGGTAGGCTGTGAGGACACGTTCTCCCCCTCTCTTTGTTCTTGTTTCAGCACCCGGGAGCCCTCTTGTGCGGAATCAGTGCTACTCGCCAAACTCCCCTGTGTGGGACTTTTCCCCGGTTCAGATAGTTTCCCGTCAGGTTTCCCTTCGGCGCTGTCGGTCTTTTCGGTGGGTAAAACTGTTTCTTTGTCGGCGTCTGGAACAGAGGACAGGATGCCCCCGTGCGCCACCGCCGTACTACGACCACTGTTCATGTCCATTCTTCCTCTGTTCTCAACGTTGTCGCCCGGTTCCTGTTTGGGGTCCGGCACGGCCTGTTCCTCCTTGTCTGTTTCTCCGGTGCCGTTTTGACCTGACGTCGGCTGAGAATCATGTTCGGCCCCTTCGCTCGTTATTTGAGCCATTTTCAATCAGCACGAAAATATATTTCTGTGATGTTCCACTCGAAAAGTTGCCTTCAAGCTGCCCTTCTTCCTCCACTCACACTCTCCGCTACAAGCGTAAAACACAGCAGGGGGTGTGCATGACGTCGGGCTTGTCTATTCAAAATGATGTCTCACTCTGTAGGTTAATTTAACGTGCATCCAACAATAACTGTGCCATTAGTGTTGAATAAGGTATCGCACATCTTTTGACACAGTGGTACCTACAAAATTAGTTCATTCAATTTTTCTTCTTAGTTTATAATCTTAAATAATGACTTTTGTGTCACTTATAAACAAAAAACTCCACTCCGACTTTGCAGTGTAGACTCTTTTTTATAAACACCTGCATTAACCAATATAAAACGTTTTAAATTAATATGTATACATTGAGCTAATTACTTTAAAGTGATATTCATTGAATATAGTTAGCAGCCCTTGAAAATAATTTAGCATAATCCATGTAGCTCACCTAAAAATATGTTTTCCTCGTATATTCAGTACTTTTTACCCTAGCTGAGTGTCTCACCTGATAAATAGAAATGTCTGAAGAAAACAACTATTATTATCTGTTTGTTGTTGTTGTTGTTTTTTTTGAAAGGTGTGTAAAAAAAAAAAAAAAAAATAACACCACTAAGACGACCGCACTTTTTTTCTGCACGAGTGAGTCATCTTCGTAGACACAGACGATCACGGCATTGTGGCCTCTCAGCTCCACGTGTTCCGACAAACAGAAAATGATCCAACTCAAAAAGTGCTGAAAATGCACGTTCTTATCGCTGCAAGGTGCATATTCCCGCAGGCACCACCACTCCGTTCAACCTCTCTTCACCTTCATAATTCTACCGCAGCTATTGTAGGCTATTAAACTACACTTCAGCCTATCTGTAATACTCTGAACCCTGCCAGGCTGAGTGGCTGACTTGTTGCATGCTTCTGCATGGCCTGTGCTAAGATGGAGAAAAAGTACTCTCTTGAAATATTACAGAAAAGTCCACATCTCATAGCCCACTGCTTATGGATTGACTAGATTAAATTAATTGGTTGTAGAATAATTAGCAAAATATTATATACACATATACATGTATA